AATACAGGCTGTAAAATTGCGCAAATATTTAGGATTATGTCTTCAAATTATTCATTAGCAACTCAATGTATTGAAAGTGAAGTGGGCTATTTGAAGAAGGTGGTGCATGAGATTCTGAATCAGAGGTATGGACTTGAAGTATGTTACAAAGAAAAACAAGAGCCCTGAACAGATCTGTTCCATTTCCCCAAGCATTACTCTATTACTCTTCCGTGCAGTACTTTATTGAAACAAATAGGACTTCTCAGAATAGAGTGCCTTTTTGTGGGATGGAGCTCTAATTCATGCAGATAAATAAGAGCTGCAGCCCTATAGCTCAAATTTAAAGAGGCATGGGCACATCATTTGGGAGGAGATCAACATTGGAAAGCTATAATAGTTATTAACACTAATGGGAATTATATGTATAAATCTCCCATGCATGCAGGAGAGAGTCATTAGAGTCCAAGAGTGAAAGCCTTTAACTTCCTTCTAAGAAAAATGCTGACATCCCTAATAAGATTCTGAAGGTAGGATGAAGGAAAACAAGAAGTCAAAAGACCTCTACTGCCAATCCCAAGTTGGTAAAACAACAACAACACACCAAAAACCAAAACATTCTGTTGGTATTGTTAAAAATAAAACCTTCATTCACTTTATGATAAAATTACTTTATGACACTACAGATACTAATTTACTCACTAATGCCAGGCCATTTGTGTATCATCCACATTGCACTGCAAACAGTCACTGTAATTATTTTTGCATTTAAAATGCAATGTAATTACGTGGTCTTAGAATTCATTTACTTCTGACCTCACTCCTAACATTTCTCTCTCTCTCTCTGCCTTCCAATCACCTGCCAACTTATGATAGCATTCCAAGCATTTGCAAAGTGTTTTCTGGTCCACAAAAGTTTATGCCGCAATATATTTGTTAGTCATTATTTGTTTTTTATTGATTACATGCATATACTGGCCATGCAATTGAGTTACCTTTGTTTACAGACCATTAAAAATACAAAATACGCAAAATGTAAATGATAAACATTCAAACCAGTTGTAAATAAATCAAGAAGGCGATAACCAACACAAAACCAGTAACTGAAAACAATTGAAACACAACATGAAACTAGCAAGGGGAATAACTTAGTGCAGAGATCCAGAAACACTAAAATAGATGTAGCATTATAATTAAGAACATAAGAAGAGCCGGGTGGATCAGGCTAATGGCTCTCACAGTGACTGGACAATTACCTGTTGGAAACCGCAAGCAGGATTCGAGATGAAGAGCACGCTCTTTTCCTGTGGTTTCCAGCAACTTGTATTCAGAAGCCAACTGTGGAGGCACTGCATATAGCCACTGCGGCTAGCAGCCATCGATAGCCCTCTCCTCCATTAAAATGAAAAGGCCTGAAATAATGAAAAGGTATTCACCTGGCACCTAAAAAACCACAGAGTGGGCACCAGGCAAGTCTCTGCAGGGTGGATATTCCATAGACAGAGTGTCGCCACCGATAAAATCCCTTCCTTGGTTGCCAGGAAAGTATTTAAGGGGCTACTAGGCTCTTTGTTGGTTCTGATGCTACAAACTTACATGGCTATCATGGCTATCGCTTAAGGAAATTGTATGTATCCTTAATGACTGAGGAGAAGCAGAAAACTCACTGGACTTCACAGAAGAAGGCCCAGAAGTGTCCCAGATGATGCAAGCGGCTTCCTTTCGCTCATCTGACGTGGGCCATGTGTTTTCTTCAAACTGCTTTTCACAAGAACAGCTCACAGTCAGGGCTTTGCTCAGAGGTTGCACCTGCTTGAAATAAATATGGCAGCACACATTATGTCAAAAGGAGAAGCCCTTCGACAAGCAAATCATCTTGAGGTAAAAGGAATGGAGTGCATTTTATTTCATTTTAGAGCAAGATGTGGAGGCAAGATGTTAATGCCTGTAACTGAGACTGAGTTTCCACATATAGTTGCTAACACTTAAGCCCCCAGGAGATCAATGAGATTTGTACACATAAAACTGGATTGCAACCTTGGCGAACAGTGCAATGTAATGATTTAATTTACTTAGTACAATTAACAGAGAATCATTATATAGATAAAGCAATGCAAATCAATAATACACATGGGAACATTCGTCATGTTCATGGTAATGGAGACAAGAAAGCAACCTTAAATGCAACCTTAAAACACTCAAACTGCAGGTCTGTTTAATCTAAAATACAAAACTGTTTTGTGAAGTGACCAAAACAAGAACCCGCCTCTGTCTGCTCCTCTTCTTCTAGTGTGACTCAGGCTTCTTTTCCTCACTCTAAGGAAGTGCTGCTGGCATGATTCGGATCTTCACAACCTAACGAGTTTTCCAGTACACAATACCAAAATTTACAGCATGGGTGGGGGAAATATAGATCATAGTCCACTAGCGAATATATGGTGACCTGCACAGTACCTGTCAGATGCTAGTTATTTCTACAAAGAATGATGGACTAGATGGATCTCCAACCCAGAATGGCACATGCTCTAAAATAAGGATACATATTTGGATTGAGGGTCTACAGTTTACCAAACAACTTTTTATATCTGAGAGATCAAGAACGACCATTCTTTTTACAATTATTTTTGCCTGATCATTAAGTGCAGAAGCCTAAAAAAACACGCAAGACCTCAAGTGCACCCAAAGTAGACTTTTATGTCTGAATTGCTTTTAAAACATATTGCTGTTTTTACAGATTGTTTAATGAAGACTGGGGACTAGACTGAAAGACAGCGACTTCCTTAAGGATCAGCATCGGAACTTGGGTTACTGAATCTTTCGCTGTTTTGCCCAAGTCCCTACCCGGTATGTCCACACTGGCTTTCCAAACTAAACAAGCAGAACACTAACTTTCATTCTAGCGGGGCTGTAGGCGTTTTGTAATGTCAGGATAAAAATCCAAATTAGAGAAAGTGAACAGTTTTTGGTCCTGTAGGCTGTAGTATTTGGGACAAGTGGCCATGTTCCCTTTACAAAAACAAAGGACTAAATTGCTCCGGCAGCATAGGAAATCCATCAGTGTCACTGCTGCCACCTGTGGAAATCTCTCGAACAGCATTAGGCCTAAGAATCCTCATCAACTTTGGCATGTCTGTGCCAACACAGGTAGAGCTGCCAGATCCTCTGTACTCATTGCTTTCCTTCCAAGAACAAGGTCAATTTTTTCTTTCCCTTAAGAGACTTCCACACAAAGCAGGTCATGGGCAGAATGCCCATTAACAATCTACTCCCGCCCCCATGAAATATTTGTGTTTCTGCCTGCACAGGACTAAGCAAATGCTTACAATGCCCTGGCAATATGAAATGAATTCTTACATTCTCTCTTCAGGCCCTCAGCATTGTACAAAACGCTTCTGAGAAGTATTTCCTAATGAAGATTTATTATAGAAGGCCATGATTCGCCAATCATTTGCCCCCTCGCTAGTGCGGGAACAGAGTGATATCTTGCCATAGCCCTCTTAATTTCCATTCGCTTTCTGCCAAAACAGAAAAATACAATGCATTGTAGATGGTTCTCTTATATCCACACCTTTGGGTAAAATGGTGAGATGTGGTTGTGGGCACGCTGAGGATTGGGTCCCTGTAAACTTCTTGGAATAAAGAACCTGATTTTGCTACATGCCTCAAGTTTCATGTACACCTTAAAAAGAACAACCATAATTAGCAGCCGCAGTGTCTAACTTGTCAGAGATCTTCATTTCCTTGGCAGAGGAGGCTTGTTGTTACAAAAATCTAAAACTGACAGCGTTTCTCCCACTGAGCAGTTCTCTCAGAATAGAACACAGCATAAAACTCTGAAGTTAGAAGGAAAAGGCTCTGATAATCTCTTTGCTTCTTGTTTTCTGCCTTGATCAGTTCTCCTGTTAAAACAACATTTTGAGGGAGACCACATGCAGCTTCGTGCACTGTGAACAGACATATGAGATAGATATTACTTGGGTGGGGAATAGACTTGCCATATCAAGTAGAGAACGAGTGAAAGATTTCTCTGTCTTTCAAAGGAAAGAAAGAAATGAGAGTGTGTGTGTGTAGCTTGTGTGTGTGTGTGTGTGTGTGTGTGAGTAGCTGCATTCATTTCTTAAAGGAGAAAATGATGGGTTCATCTTTTGCCTGTTCCAAAAGAAAAGCATATAATGTCACACCTTTCCAAGCAAAAGAATTTCAAGATCAGTAAAGGCGTATTTTCAGTTGCCACATATATGCCATTTATGAGCTCCCCTATGAAGATGGTTATGGTGATACGAGAAATGCACCAACATCTCAGGAGTGTTAAGTACATTAAGAAAAATATCCCAGGCTGCCTGGAATCTCTCACTGAACCAAAGGAGAAGGTGGCATATGGCTCAAGGTCATGGTTTTAAACTACCTTGTGGAAACAGATGCAAATCCTCGTTCCTTTTCTTTTTAAAAGCTTTTTACAAAGTGATATTTAAAAGTTTTTTAAGTATTTTGATCCAGTGGGGATTAAGAGAATATTTCATAGTTTGAGAAGCTGGGTGGGCTTGTTTTAAGGAAAGATAAATCAAGTCTTATATGCAGGATTCTGCTTCTTTAGTCCATAAGATTTGTTTGTGTTTGGCAGGAACATTTTCTCCTATTACCACCAGGCATCATGCACGCGCATATATATATGTATATATATGAACATGCATGCATATCTATATTTATTAAACTGAAAGATATGTTTTGCAATTTACATAGAAATAATTTTTTTTTCTGAATTAATTAAATGTTAATGAATCACATCTCCATCTTGAGATACACAATTAAGCACAACTTGCATATCAGAGGCCTTGACTCCAAGAGAAACCTCAGAAAATTATGTCCCTTCAAAGGTAATTCCCACTTCCCTATTTCTGCAGTTACTCAAGTAAGGAAAGGGGTGGGGGGTCCAATAGAATCCATTTTCTGACCATTCTTTTGTGTTGTGCTTCTTTAAGCCTGACCATGAAAATTTGCAGAGTTCAAGTCACCATTTTTCGGTGTAGCAGGATAGCTCAACCAGTACAGCAAGAGACTCTTAATCTCAGGGTTGTGGGTTTGTGTCCCATGTTGGACAAAAAGATTTCTGCACTGCAGAAGGTTGAACTAAAAAACTGACCCTCACAGTCCCTTCCAACTTGACAATTCTATGATTCTATGATCTGCGCAAAGAGAATCAAATGAGAGAAGAATTCAATGTCAGTCTTGGATATTTGAAAGTAGAGCTGAAAGAGTATGGACATTTGTATAGCTGTGGCTTTTGCCACCCTCAAAAACTACCCTCCCTTCCAGCAATTTTGGAGTACTACCCTGAGAAGGGCAAGTTTTGTTGTTGTCTAGTTGTGTCCGACTCTTCGTGACCCCATGAACCAGAGCACGCCAGGCACTCCTGTCTTCCACTGCCTCCCACAGTTTGGTCAAACTCATGCTGGTAGCTTCAAGAACACTATCCAACCATCTCATCCTCTGTCGTCCCCTTCTCCTTGTGCGCTCCATCTTTCCCAACATCAGGGTCTTTTCCAGGGAGTCTTCTCTTCTCATGAGGTGGCCAAAGTATTGGAGTCTCAGCTTCAGGATCTGTCCTTCCAGTGAGCACTCAGGGCTGATATCCTTAAGAATGGAGAGGTTTGATCTTCTTGCCGTCCATGGGGCTCTCAAGAGTCTCCCCCAGCACCATAATTCAAAAGCATCAATTCTTCAGCAATCAGCCCTTCTTTATGGTCCGGCTCTTTGTTGGCAAGGTGATGACTCTACCTTTTAAGATGCTGTCTAGGTTTGTCATTGCTTTTCTCCCAAGAAGAAACACACAAAACAGCATAAACACATAAAACAACATAAAAACATTGACTTGGAGTTGGAGTTGGGGGGGACCTTGTAGTCCATTTCCCTCAGATCTCTCTTAGTTCAGGTAATCATACAGCCCTCTTTGCTTGCTTACTGTCTGGTGACGGGACAATTATATGGACCATTCTGATATGATTTAGCAAACAAAATACCTGTGTTTAACTGAAGTAATAATAAAAAAGTTCTGTTACCTGAGCTGGAAATAAGCCACATCAAAATTGCTGTCTAAAAGCAGCATAAGCTGTGCATTTAGGAAGCCTTCAAATCATAGTCATTTGTGTAAGTATTATATCACTGCTGCTTTTCACACTTTATATTGTTGTAATCTCTGTAGGCCTTAATTACAGATGGATTCCCCTTTGCTTGCTTTGGGGGGGGGGAGCACTTATTGCTCAAGGAATATAACTATAGAATTCCTGTTGTAACATTTTAATTTTTGAAGTAAATAGTATGGGGGAGGGGGAACCATGTAATTTTGTTGGGAATATTTATGGCATAGTCTTATGTGCTAGAATAGGAGGGAAATCCCATAATTAGCTCTGTCAAGTGAAATATCAGGGTTATTTAGTAAAAAGAGAATCCCTGCTGCAAGGATAACTATTTCATAATGCCCGCTGTCAATAATCCATGGCTGATCATTAGGGCCTACTTTCCCTGAAAGGACATGAACTGGTAACAAACTTAAGCTTTGCTTTACCCTTTTATCACATTCCTGTAAAAACACAAAGACACACGTGGCAACAAATGGTTCAGGAGCTGAATTAATGTGAACTCTTAAGTTCTGCTGCTGCTTTTGTACTAGTTCTTTCAAGGTGATCATATCTTCAAGTGATCACATCCAGTCAGAGATTGCATTATTAATATGATGGCATCATAACATGGTGCAGCCAAGGAGAGGGAAAGTAGTGTTCCTATGCTAATTTTGAATGGGTGAACATACTTGCCCTTCTCCAGCAGCCACGAAATTAAAAGACGCCTGCTACTTGGGAGAAAAGCAATGACAAACCTAGACAGCATCTTAAAAAGCAGAGACATCACCTTTCCAACAAACGTCCGTATAGTTAAAGCTATGGTTTTCCCAGTAGTGATGTATGGAAGTGAGAGCTGGACGATAAAGAAGGCTGATCGCCGTAGAATTGATGCTTTTGAATTATAGTGCTGGAGGAGACTCTTCACTGGAAGGACAGATCGTGAAGCTGAGGCATGAGAAGAGAAGACTCCCTGGAAAAGACCCTGATGCTGAGAAAGACTGAGGGCACAAGGAGAAGGGGATGACAGAGGACGAGATGGTTGGACAGTGTTCTCAAAGCTACGAAAATGAGTTTGACCAAACTGTGGGAGGCAGTGGAAGACAGGAGTGCCTGGCATGCTCTGGTCCATGGGGTCACGAAGAGTCGGACACGACTAAACGACTAAACAACAACAACAACATGTGTTTCAGAAATGTAAGTCAGTCCTGGAATTTTATTGAAGGGTAGTATAAATCTTTTTTTAAAAAAGAATTACTCTATGTAAAATTGCCATATATGAAACCGCTTGTGGTGTCCAAGAAATAGAAGCACAATATAACTTTTGTAAATGAGAAGGATGAAGAGATTTTATATTCAAGGCATATCATATCAAATTCTTACAGGAAAAAAGTAAAATATTGATGAAGCTACACTTCATACAACAGTGGCCTTGTTTTCCAGTGAAGAGGAAACAGAGGCCTCCATGGACAACTATGAATGTTAGGTGACAAATAATGTTATTAAGAGTTTATAATATACCTATAAAACAAAGCACATTTGACATGCCAATATCTATACTTTTAAAAAGGTATTAGACGCATAAAATGTGCAGGAAAAATAACATTCTTAAGTTTTTAATAAAGAAAGAGTAGAGGAATCTTTTCCATTATTATGCAAAAATGCATCTTGAAGTTGTGCGGTAATGTATTAAACCAGAACAGTGAATAAAATGTTATTCTCCCTGAGGCACAAGGGTTCATTGTGCTGCCAGAAACAATCTAAAACAAATTTCCAGTGAGCCTTTGTAGTTAAACATTAAGAGATTTAGCTAAAGAAAATGCATTACAGAACAGAAGAGAGCAGGAGCTGATTATTATACTAAGGCATGCTAGCCCAAACTGTGGAGTGATTATAAAATATTCAATTGAAAGAATGTAAAATTAACACCTGCGAAACATAACTAAGGAGAATGACATGTTTGAACACTGAACTCAACATGCAATGCACTCAACAAATACCATTCTTGTTTAATCTGGTCAGCTCAGATATGACTTCTATTAGAATTATCATGAATTATGACAATGGATTCCAGTGACCGGGGGTTTCTATGTGCTCTGGTCTACCCTTCCATACGCGCAGGCCTACCTTTTGTAAATCTTCCTACACTATCCTTATGCTTATGTTTTCTTTACGGCTTTGAAAATTTTTGAGACTGCATAGGTCCTTGGTACATTGTCCATCATATAGCTTACCTACCTAACATCACCATGGCAGCCAGTGAGATAAAAAGTTCTTTGTGAACTGAAGATTATCCAACATAATAAATAACGGGAGAAAAAGGAACATCATACTAGATTTTTGCAGGGCAACGGCTGTAGCTCACGAAACTCAACCCCTATCAATGCTCTAAACTGACATAGGAGCAGAGCCCATCTGAACAGGGAATCATCCCTCATCAGGGAATGAGAAGGTGTCCCAAAGGTTCAGTAATTATGTCACAGCCACTTATGGAAGCTCACATTTCCCAAGGGAAAAGGAGCTCACCAAGACAAACCAGGAACATGGGGAAGTATCCAACTAAACAGTTCTGCCAGCGCAAGCGCAACTGAACATACCCTCCCTCTTCTCTCTCCACAGGCTCCCTAAATATACTGTGGATTTTCCCTTGCCCCTCTAGAACAGATTTAGGGAGTACTATAGCACAGCGATGAATGCTTGTGCTAGCAGAACTGTTTAGCTGAATACCACCCAAGCTTTTTGCTCCCAATCTGGTGTTGGTAGAGACTGGGGTGGGGGAGGTTTACAGGGCCTGAATATGACCCACCAGCTGATCTCTTATAATAAAGATAGGTTGTTGATCTGTTTCCCATGTAACAAACATTAGCAGGGATGTGCCTGCATTCTACGTGAATGGGAAGGGTATCTTTAAAAAGCCATGTATATATATAGCAAATAGGTACTATCATACACTATAGTATACTGCTTATTACGTGACAGGTTTTGCATGGATTAACTTCACTACGAGTTTGAATCTAAAGGAGAATACGTCTTGCTGTGGAAGATGGCAAAGGTAAGTCCTATCTCACTAACCTTTTAGGCTCCAAAATTCAGAGTTCCGTGAGAGTGTCAGTAAGCATGTGGACAGGAATGATCCAGTAAATTCTACCGAAAGGTTTCTAAATAAACTTGGCACAAATGGAATAAGAGGACAGATAATCTTGTGGATCGGTAACTGGTTAAAGAACATGGAGCAAAGAGAGGAATACACAGACAATACCCACAATGAAGGGTTATAAAAAGTGTCTCCTAAAAAAAATTTGTATTGGGATGAACGCTTTCTAAATAATTTACAGCATGTCTGGAGTTAAAAGGTGAACAGTGTAGTAGCTGGGTTTGCAGATGTACAAACGCTTACAAAGATCTCTGAAAAGATCTCTACAAATTGGATAAACTGAGGACAAATTGGCGAATGCTATTCAATGTAAGTCAGTGTAAAACCAAGCACACTGGGACAAAAGAAATTCTTCACTTCACATATAAACTGGCAGGATTGGAGCTGGTTGTGACTAATGAGGAAAAGATCTTGGGGTCATTTGGTGAGCTCAATTGAAATGTCGACTCAATGAGGAAGCTGTGGAAAAAAAGGGGATTCCATGGCGGGGATCATTAGGAAAGGGATGGAAAATATAACTGTCAATAACTGCATGTATGTAAACCTATGGTGTGACTACACTTTGAAAACTGGGTAGTCCTGATTGCTGCATCTCAAAAACTGCACAGCTTAAAAAGGTGCAAAAAAAGAGAAGCAACCAAAATAGTCATGGGGCTGCAGCAACTCTCCTATGTGGAAAGGTTATAATGTATGGGACATTTTTTAGTTCAGATATAAAGCAAAAGAGAATACTAATGAGCTTTAAAACATGTACGTGTGGAGAAAGTGGGTAGAGAGAAATCCCCCTCTCACACTGAATGGTGGAGATTCAGGACACACAAAAAGGTTGGG